CACCTAGAGTAGATCTAAACCTTCTCATAGAACACACAGTCAGCACACATCAGCCATGGAAGTATGTGCCACTGAGGTCTGCAGAGCCACCCTAGACAATGTATGGACCTCTGAAGACATATCACCACTCCTTAAGATCCCAAGTCTTCTGGTGGCATAGTACACAGCATTCTTTGTTAGTACCTAATGGAACAGAATGTTGTGAAACATTTTTTTAAATTATTGTTTCCATCTGCTCATATAAAAGGAGGGGAAAACTCTACCATCTTTTAGATATCGGGTTGAATTAAAAACACTGAGAGTCATAACCTGATACACTAATAATATCACTTGGAGACATGGATACAAGTGATGTGGATAGTAAATTTTAGTCTACTTTCAGTGGTCAATATTAAAAGCAATATTAAATATTCACAGATGGCCTTCATAATTTTCCATGCTTTGTAGTTTCCATCTAACCTCTTCCCTAGGCATAGATCTCCAGAGTCCCTTAACCACTAACCTTTAATCTTTGAGTCTGTTTTTTTTCCTACAAAGCATATATAATCCATGAGGGCAAGCCTAGTACATCGAGATGAAAAGCACTGTACTGAGAAGAATCAGAGCAAGAAAACAATCTTTCTTCACTTACTTGTGTCTAAGAGACTGTTGATGTCTTGGTCCCCCTCTCATGCTCCTCATGCTCTTTCCCTTGGGCCTTCCCATGGGCAGATTTTTTTTCTCTCCCTAAAACCTACTCATTTGGATTATAGATCTTACTACTAAACAAATAACAGGGAAGATATGAAGAAGACAGTTCTCTGGGGAAAGTTACAAATTTCCAGATATATCTGTTTAGAAAGGAACACGTTTATTTAGTACACTACAAAGAGAACACTGAGAAGTTCAATGGCAGAAACTCCCGTAACAACACTTCTGGGTAAGCATTCTGAAAACAGAAAAGTAAGGGCAGAATACATGTCAAAGCAAAACACAGGAGTCCAAACTGATGAAATTTTGAAGACAAATACACTTCCATTTTCTTTTCTGAAACACTGAGAGTAAAATATGACTTCAGTGAATACCCTCAAGAGAAGCATTTTGTGAGGGCTCCCACTTGATCAAGCACACAGGTTTCTCTGTTTGGAACCTTCTCGTTTTACCATCTGCAGAGCAAGCTTGGGGGGGAAAGGCCCCATGCTGTGAAACATAGATGCTTAGTGCCTGCATGGGCCACCCAGAAGGCATTTACTGACTGTTCCCTTGATTAAAAATACTCAAAGCGGAGGTGGGGGGTGGGGAGTGGGGGGGAGGGAAGCTACAAGCAACCAACATATTTAAGGCCCCATGACTCTCCAGGCTCCTGTACTCAATGTCTAGGAATACCTCACTTGTAAGTACTTAGTTTGACACATTTAGAATAGCATGGGGTTGAGTGATCTTTGATCTTTGCGCTCCGTGGATTTCATTTAGTGTCGACTGCTCTTTATGTTTTAGATGAATTGTATTGACAAGCTTCATTCATCTTGCCATTAGTGGTTTCCAATTGAGTGAAATAAAAGTGAGTAAAAGTACTACGTTTCTTTCTCCTAAGCATCAGTGAATTAAGATATGATATCTTTAGTGTTGGCAAGAATAAAAATATATAACTTGATGGAATTGAAATTGGTACTGTTTCTAGAAATCCACCAGGCAACACATGTCAAGTGCATTAATGTTCATTTGGGATAAGAGTACTGCTCTAAGAGTAATAAAAAGCTAAACCAGAATACAGGTAAAAAAACAAAATGTATATTCTATATCCAAGTAGACATGTAAATACTATGTAAATCATGCTTCACCTATATGAGCTACCGTTTCCATTAAATGGTGCTACAAAAAGTATAAGTAAAATTTAAGATGCCCTTGAAAAACAAGAAAGATAAGTGTTTTTAAGCTACTAATGCAATAGTTCCCAACCACACAAAAGTGCCCTGACTTTTTCCATTAAAGGCAGTAACTTTAATGCCATTAACAAAACAACATTCTTGGATACACAATACATTTGTTTCTACATGTAGTTTTTCTTGGTTCTGCTTAAACATAGTTTAATAAACTCTCCATCAGTCTCTGTTGCTGAAGGAACCACACTCCATGTGTGAAGGATAGAGTGAAATCACGTTGGAAACGAGCTGGAAGCTTCCTCCCCATCAGCTAGCTTTCGTAATCCTTGAATGAGCCATGGGGCTGCTGGGAGAAAAAAGGCGCCAGTGGTCTTACAGAGCCATGAATTCTGCAATCCATGAGACCAACTGGCAGCCACAATCTACCCACTTATGCAATAACAGTACTACTGCTGTACAGGTAATCAATTCCTCTCTGAATTTGAGATCATCTCTACAGAAGGTAACAAATGGCTGGCACTATTAACATTGACAAATCTCAATGGTGGAAGAGATTCTAGGTCCTGGTGGGAACTGAATACTGTTGCTCAGCTAAATTGACATAATGCCAAGATACCTTCTAAATATTTATGCTAGTATCCATACACAAATACCACCTTCAGACTTAATCAAGGAAGCCTCTCAAGTAAAAGGTGGTGAGTGCTAAGACTCATAGGTATTAAAGATGTTGAGGATAGTAATGGAGTATTTAGCTCTAAATGAGACATTTGTACTATCTCCTTTAAAGCTTACAGAATATTGCAGAAGACAGGAAGAAAAGAACGTAAGAGCCAGAAGATAATGAGAAAGGCTGAGAAATGTCACCTTCTGGGTAAGGCATAGCCATTACAAACACAAACGCACCGCAGTTGTAGATGCCTGCACTGTGTCTATACAAGAACGAGCTCATCAACAGTATGGCATGGATATGGAGGCTGGGGATCAGGAGCTCCACTCATCCCGAAACCATTTAATGCTAATAAATCTGGAGGGTGGGAATTGTTCATTGTCTTCCACTGTATTTTCACTAATGACTCCATCAGAAACTGGTGGATAGTTCCAATCTAAATGTCACCCAGATGGCACTAGTTAAATCAAATGAGTCATAAAACAAAAGACTTCAATTCTAGGAAAGAGAATCGGAGGCATAAGGAGTGGTTGGGAGTGATAGGAGCAAGATAAGAGGATTTGGTGGAAGATTCAACTCAAGACATTATATGCAAGTGTAAAATTCTCAATAACAAAATTAACCAATAGAGAGCAAAGAACAATAACAGACATTATATTGACATGTTTGAATAAGTTTCTTAAGCAAGGCCTTTGAACTTTACATCTTCTTGTTGTACTACCATTCTGGTCATTTCCAATGCTTCTGCCAGGGATGAACTCAATATCTATGGGGTTGGTGGCCTACAGAAGCCCCTGCTTCCTTTCCCCACACAGTACTCTAAATCAATGTATTTTTTCCCAGGAGCAACCCAGGATGTCTCTGCCTGCAATTGGATAGCATCTACCTTACACACAACACAGTTGGATAGCATCTACTTCACACACAGCACAATGTTCTCTTTCTCAAGTGTTACCAGTTGGTTTGAGTTTGGCTGCTCTCTGAAGATGGCATCTCACTCTTCTGTCTCCTTGCTAGTTCTTGCAAAAGCTTGGGGTAGAAATGCCTATTCCAATCATAAAATTCAAAACAACACCCTACTTAGTTAGAACAAAGGCTTCTCTGGTCTAGCTTTTTCTCCAAGAATATTTTCAGAGAACGAGTTTTGGGTTGTTTGTTTTGTTCTTAATGCCTGTAGCACTAGAGACTAGATTTGGGGCTCCCTTCAGTAACTAAGTTAGTTCTTCCCCTGAGTTCAGGCTAATTATGCCTCAGCTCAAGCTCATGTAAAATTAGACTTCTAAATCTGCCGGGCTGCTGTGGCAGTTCCAAGAGCTAATAGCTGCAGCCAGAGCACCTTACAGGCTACCTGCTAGCTGAGAGGTCATGCAGATTCCAATCTTTTCTTCTGTTTGGAAGATTTTACTGGTATCTAGAAGCTTCCAGAGCCAGAGAACTCACTTTGTGCGATTGTCAGACAAAAACCAATTGATTTCTGTACAGCAAGCTCACTGTGGTTACTAGTCTCCGGAGCTTTCTAATTATAGTATATTTTTCCTTCCCTTCTCAAACGCTATTTTCTCATGAACTGAGCTCTCCTTTCTTCTTTATTTGCTCCCAACCTTTGCCTTCCTTTAAATCCTGCCATCCTTCGTTACTGAGGAAAGGAAGCTTGTAGTGTTATGTGACTGTAGACTCGACTCTGAAACTTTGCTACTTTCATTTAATTGAACTATATTGAGAAGCTGACATGTGTCCACAATTAGCATATCCTGAATTATTAAGTTCAGATGATCATGATGCTTCCTTCATCTAAAAATTGTTCTATTATGTGCTTTATAATTGGATGCAGAGAATCTACCTTCAACAAACTTTTCATCAGACTTTTGATAAATGTTGGTTGCTGGTGACAACGAAAAGGAATTATCCTCTGTATCTAGCCAATTTGAACACCTTAGCTTGTCAATAATCTTCATAAATCCTGTCAAAACTGGAGACATAGGAAAGTTATAGTCAGGAAATACAGTGGGATACTTAGCAGCTGATCTGGATATCTCTTCAACCTTCCCATGCCTAGAGTTTCCTCATTTATAAAATCAGATGAAAATATCTGCCTTGTAACATAGTAAATATATGCAAGTCCTAGCTCTCAGCACCAAAGTTACAAATATTTAGGATTCTTTTGGCAAGCAGTAAGCATTTAATATCAACACATGAGAGGATCTGGGAGGTTTGGGTGCAACTCTCAGCCCTGGAGGCAGTGTTTTTACCATAGGCTCCTGTCTGAAGTTATTCTGCTCCCAAGAACTTCCATCCAAGACTGAGCATCGTTCACTTGAGTCTACCACTATACTCTTTAACAGGAGATGGGTAAAGAGAAGAAGAGAGGTGAGAAATGGAGGCATGGGAGAGAAAAGGGAAGAGGAGTGGGAAGCAGGCAGGTGAGTGAGTAGTTGGTTTTGAAAGCAAGGAGCAGTTGGACAGACACTCACACAGGAATCGGTGTCTTGTATTCCTTTGTCCATGCACAGCTTCATAGTTGATAGTCATTACCATCTATGTGAAAAGAAAAACACACCATAAAAATCTACTCGTTCCTTGCTTACAGGGGGCAACAGCGCAAAAGTCAGGATCTTTGGCACCAAACATCTTTTCCCTTTGATGATGGTCACATTTTCCCCTCACCACTTGAATGCCACTTTGCCAGAGCCTCTGCCAACTGTATGTAGCAAGTCACTAAACCATAATCTTTGGGTTCTTACTTGCTACTGATATGCAGCAGTTTGCACACCATTAGCAGATAATGAATCTTTTAATTATAAATGGATTGAGTCTCTGGTCTTTTCCCAGGGCTCACAAAGTCTGCTACATACCCATATAATTTTAGTCACCTCTAAAAACTTGTGTGACTTTATATGCATGCTTTCAAAATAGGTGTGATCTTGTTTAGGAAGCAATGGCAAAAGAAATCACCTTGTAGACATATATTCAGCACAAAGGGTGCTTTTTTTCTGAATAATTTCGAATTTCATTGGTTGGTTAAGCTGAAGACTATAGAACCTGTAGATATGAGTGGCTGGCTGTGTCTATGAAAAAGTATATTGGGACTTATCCTGTCCCTAATCCATCCTATGTTCCTGTGTAACTGGAAGAGTCTCAAAGTGGTAAGTATTGATCATTTATTACTTTTAACTTTAACATTTTTCGACTGTTTGTGTAAGGTATGAAAACAAAGTTTCTCAGTCCCGTTGGAGAAGGATCCAAGTAACAGCAAGGTATGTTCAACTGCATACATTTATTTGTTTGAAAAGCATTGATAGCAAGCTTGTCACTGATGACCTGCTGATAACTCAGGCATGGACCTTATAGGTCAATGAAATAAGGGTGATCCTCTGTTAATGGTGCAACGTGTTTTAAGCTGCCAATCAACATTTTTAAAATTTCCCCCTGCCCTCTGTTTTGGAAGTACATTGATGACATTGAACCCAGTGCCTTGTACACGCTAGGGAAGATTTCTCATGGTAGCTTCAACCGTGCTCTTTTAAAGTGCTTTAAAACCCATGGATAAAATAAACAGAACACCTCTCTGCAGGTGAGGGGCAAGGAGGAATCAGAAATGTAGTTTGGTAAAGCTAGCAGGCCAGTATACAGAGAACACAGAATACAAAACCACGGTCCAAGTCAAAGTTAAAGTCAGACTGTTATTCAACTACACCCAGCTGACTTGAAAGGAAAGAAGCTTGGAGAACATTCCTTTCTGATGAAAGACTCAGTACACCTTCTTGCTCAGATTCTTATTTTCAGATGGTGAAAAATAAATTCTCTTCAAACAATTCCACCTGAAAGTTCACAATTGAGAGAACCCAGCAATATCTAGGCATGCCAAAAAAAAAAAAAAGTGAAATCCTAGTCTGAGCTGGGTAAGCAACTCTGAGGAGGCTGGAGGAGCTTGGGAGGGAAATTATAAGTGAAACAATAAAAGAATATATTTAGCAAATTTAAGAAGCCTTGCCTCTTGAAAGTCATTTGTTTAGGCTTCTTAAAAACAATTAAACACCTAAAAGTTACTTTTTAAAAAGTTAACTTTTGAAAATAGAAAGTATAGTGATAAAATTAGAATCTCAATGGAAATATTAAACACAGAGAGTAAAGCTTAGTGCATTATATGCAATAAAGAGTAAACTTTCTTCAAAAGGAAACACTGGAATAAATACACTGCTCACATGCTTTAGCACAGTGCAACCTCGTTCACGTCTTGAAGTTACCATGAAGTCCCGGGCAGTCTTAGCATTTTTAGAACTGAGGGCACCAAGGTACAGAAAGGTTAAAGAGCCCACCCAAATCCGCACAGCTACTAAGAAAGAGATACAGCCAATTTCCAGCCCAAAGAACTGGGTTTCAGTTCTGTTTCCTAGCAACTGCTCTGCGATCCTGTGAAGAAAATGGAAACCACTAAAGAGTCATCCCATGGAAGTTAAATTTGTCCTAGAATAAGCAATAGTGAGAGTGAAGCAAATAACTTTTTTAGAGAGATGATAGCTGAAAATTCTCCAGAATTGGAGAAGAGCATCAATCATTCAATTTCTAAAGTGGAATTTGAAAAAAATATATATATATAGAGAGACATAGACTAATGAAACCCAGAACCTCCTAACATATAGGAGATGCTGACCACAAAGACAACCATTAGAGAAGACAAATGAAAGCTCATTACAAAGGAGACTTCTTGAGGCAGTGGCAGGCTATTGTCCTAGGAACAAGGGAAGGTGTCCCACCTCAAGCCTTGCCTTAATCCTCCCAAAAGTCTCACTGTCTTCCTCTGCATAAGGTAAAGTGCCAAGACCCATGGACTTCCTACCAGAGCTCCCAGCTGGCAACTGCTGAGTGGTTAAGCAGCGCTTTGGGCACTACTTGAGCTGCTAGTGGATTCCTGTTCATTTACCTATTTTCAAGCATTGTGTTAGCTCAGATGAGAGACAGAGATAAGACGAAAAGGCTATGTGAGTCAGTATGAAGATGCCTCAAACAGCTGAAAATAGATCTATCTGCTCCATTTATACTACTCTTGAACACATACCTCAATGACTCTGTATCCTACTATAGAGATACTTACTCATCAATGGTCATTGCTGCTCTATGCACAATATCCAGAAAATGGAAACAGCCTAAATGTCCATAAACTGAAGGACAGATAATGAAAATAGGGTGCACTAAGACAGTAGAATATTACTCAGCTATTAAGAAAATTGGAATTAGAAAATTTGCAAGTAAATGAATGGAGATGAAAACAATCAGCCTGAGTGAAGTAAGCTAGACCCAGAAAGCCAAATATCTGTGGTTTTTTTCTTATTTGTAGATGTTAGCTTTGAACTATCAATATATGAATCTTAGTTGGAACACTCAGAGAGGTTGGTAAATTACTAGGAACCCATGGGGGAGTGGTGGAAGCGCAGAGATTTTTGTGCTCATTGACGTGCACTAGGGCAGTGGTTGTCACCCTTCCTTCCTAATGCTCTGATCCATAACTCAGTTCATGTTGTGGTGACCCTCAGCCACAAAATTATTTTTGTTGCTACTTCATAACTGTAATTTTGCTACAGTTGTGAATTGTAATGTAAATGTCTGTGTTTTCCAGTGCTCTTAGGTGAACCCTGTGACCAAAAGAGTCACATCCCATAGGTTAAGAACTGCACTGGTGGATCTTGGAATGTCAAGCACAGAGGGCTTATGCCCTCAAGGGAAAGAGTACAAAACCCAATTTTCATGCAGAAGCCTGAAGCAGATGTGTTTTCTAACCTGGCGACCTTTGCACAATCCCTGTGGCTGAAGGCTGATCTTCAGACCCACTCTCGTTATCTTAATGTTTTTCAGTCAATCTATACAACCTATCTTTATGAAAGGTGTCATGCTTACTTTACAATGAGTTTCAATGAACTCACATCTGATCTATATTTCGATTACTTTGTTCCTCAAATGGTTTGGGCATGCTTTATGGTACATGCGGGATTGAGTTAATCACTACAGAAATAGTTTTTAGCAGATAGTGCTGAGTGTAAATAAGCCTAAAACAGGCAAGTCAGAGTCAGAGTTCCAAAGTTTGAAACAACACTGGCTACTGAGTCATGTTGTGCCAAACTGTCTTCTGGCTTCCATGGGTTGTCTGCTGTCAGTGAAGCTCATATAGATCCCTGCAGGGGAATTTCTTCCAAAGGAAAGAAAGCAGAATGCTCTGGTATAAAGGGTTAAAGCATCATTCTGAGAAGCTGAAGAGTTGGCTGGTTGTTAAGAGCACTAATTGTTCTTCCAGAGGGTCTGGGTTTAATTCTCAGCTCACAACTGTCTGTAACTCCAGGTCCAAGGGATCTAGCACCCCCACACATACATACATGAAGGCAAAACTCCAATCACACAAAATAACAATAAATCTAAAGAATAAAAGGTAATTATGTAATAAAGGATAAATTAGAGTGTGTGGAAGGATAGCAGGATAGAAGAGAGAAAATGACAGGGATACATAACACTAAAGAATTTTCAGAAAAAAATCATACGGAAACCTACTGCAGTAGAAGTATATATACTGTCCACTAGTGCAACAGTGGCATAAGCATCATGAGAGTGACCAAACACTCACTGATTGGATTTAAGTCCCATTCCACAAGATACAACCTATACCTAGTACAATCATCAGCCCAAGACTCTACAACTATACAGACATCATAGTCCCTAGGGAAGAACTTACTATTATTCTTCTAAATGTATTAAACTACATAGTATTAAACTGACTGCTAATGAATTCTTCTTATACCCATACATTAATGTATGTCTCAACTTTCATCAAAGAACCTTCTATTTACAGTAGATTATGATTAAAGTAGAAACACACAACCTGCCAATGTACAGTGAATAAGAGAATAGCAAATGCTTAGCCCTGAATGAAGCATATATCCCTCCTTCCAATGTCCGGGATCACCACAGAAGAGGGGAGAGAAAGAGTATAAGAGGCAGAGGCAGTGGATGACTACAAGGAAGGATTATTGTTTGATACAACATTGCAGATGCACACAGGAGCTCACTACAGTTATAGCAGCATGCAAAAAAAAAAAAAAGAAAAAAAAAAGAAAAAACCTGGACAAGCCTAAGCCAGACCAAATCCCAGCGTGAAGAGAGAAGCTTGCATGATTCCACCAAAAGCCAAAGATATTAACAATATTTAGTTGAGAGGGGAAAGAACAGGTGAAAAAACATAAGAAAACTGATAAATTGACCATGCTGCAGAGGAAGTTATTTTAGCAGCACAAATTGACCTTGAAGGGGAAAGGGGACACAGACTGGGTAGAAAGGGAAGAGTGAATGGGCCTAGTAGAGTTGGGTAATGGAGAATGAGAATGATCAAAATACATTACATAGAATATCAAGTAACTAAAAGTCAGAAGAAAAAAAAACTTATTCCAGAAAATCAGCAAACTAGGCACTCACCCAGGCATTTGGATAGTGATTTTTCCATCCTCTTTATATTTATTTTAACCAATATTATGCTAACAAATATTTGTCTGGCA